AATCCATCTCGTGGGTTGATACGGATGAACTCCTCTTCCTCTCCCTTGAACAACTCGGACAGAATTTTTGCTAAAGCAGCAGCGGAGTCCGGTCCCTTACGCCCGCAACGAGTGGCATCATCTTCCCCGTTAAAACACCACAGGGGGTGCCCTCGATATTGAAGTGGCTGCACTCCCCGCATTATGCATATTGACATAACCTCGATTATTGTCAATCATGATTGAGCCAGCGCTTTAATCCGGTTCATCAGGTAAAGGACTTCTCTGTTGTCTTCCTCCTGGGGGCTTCGTGGGCGCCAGCTTCGGCGTTTCTTCAGAGGAGCATTGTTAAACTCAGGAAGACCCCGCCGAATAGGGTCCGGAAGGGGGACGTCCCCCATATAAAACCATTCCGAAGGCCAGTCTTCGAACGTCTTCTTTGGAGTACCGGACAGAAATTTGGTTTCGGCGATGCGCCATATTTCGGCTCCGCCCACTTGATAAAGTGACCCCTTCTGTGTGCGGGGGGACGAGGCAAAATAACCTTTTCCACAGCTCGAAATGAACAAGGCACACCCGCTCCCCCGTAGAGGGGCTGGGGAAGCTCTCCACTTGCTCCCCGCCATTATAGCTCGCGAGCCCGGCTCGAATGGGAACCATATACGCTGGAGGGAGAAATCCCTGAGTCTGCAGTTCTACTAATCGACTGTGTGGGATGGAACACCTCGCCCAATCACCGGGCTTAGGGCTACGGGGGCGAGAGGGGGAGCTGCGGTGGTCGGCCATGTTGGAGTGGATTTTTCCGAAGCGCGCTCCGATGGGTTCTCGCTGTGGGAGGATGGTATGGATTGGATCTAAGAATCCCCATCCCTTTAATAGACAATTTATTTATCTGGCTGGGGAGGTGAATGTAAAAACGCCCTGGCTCCTCGTATTCATTCGACGCATGGAAGATAGCCCTTATTGAGCATAGAAGCCAAGAAGTCCAACATTTATGGGGCCGGACACTACTTAACAAACATTCAAAATTTGGAGGAGAACCCGACTTGCAATGCCGAAGACAATACTGCGTGCCGGACTTGACGTCATTGAAACCTGATTCGGGGGCTACTGAGGGAGTCCTGGATTAGGGGGTCTCCGGACAGTCGGACTATATCCTTTGGCCGGACTGTTGGATTATGAAGATACAAGATTGAAGACTTCGTCACGTGTCCGGATGGGACATTACTTGGCGTGGAAGGCAAGCTAGGCAATGCGGATATGTATATCTCCTCCTTTGTAACCGACCTTGTGTAACCCTAGCCCCCTCCGGTGTCTATATAAACCGAAGGGTTTTAGTCCGTAGGACAACATACAATCATACCATAGGCTAGCTTCTAGGGTTTAGCCTCTCTAATCTCGTGGTAGATCAACTCTTGTAATACTCATATCATCAAGAACAATCAAGCAGGACGTAGGGTATTACCTCCATCAAGAGGGCCCGAACCTGGGTAAACATCGTGTCCCCTGCCTCATGTTACCATCCGCCTTAGATGCAAAGTTCGGGACCCCCTACCCGAGATCCGCCGGTTTTGACACAGTAAATGTGTTTTGATGTACCGAAGGTAGTTCAGAGTCCCGGATGTGATCACGGACATGATGAGGAGTCTTGAAATGGTCGAGACGT